CCAACACAGAAGGACAGAGACGGGTAGCAGGTGCTGAGGTAAAACCAGCCAAAACAATCTCTCCTATCATTCGATTAGTCCTCCCCCGGATGCAGTTGGTGAGGTAATGTTAGCAGGATGTATTAAAAACTAATTAGGTGACTTGGAGGAAGAGAACCAGACACATGTTGTGGTCCTGCGCGCATAGACTCAGGTTTGTGCCAGGTTCCAAGCTGACAGTTAAGTCCTGCTGTGCAAACAGGTTTTTACCTTGTTTACATTTGATGAAAACAGTGGGAAAAACCAGTGCTTGGTGTTCAGCAACACACTGTGGGGATGTTTTTCCTTTGGTTTGTGTTCTGTTCCGCTCATCTGTCAGTCACTTTCCCCGCAGCTTCTCTGCCACACACCGACTCACGAGTGTCAGTTTTGAAAAGGGCGTTCAATTATCTGCTACCTTCTGTTTTTTTTTGGTTTTTTTTGGGACAACAGAATTGACTGCTTGTCTGAACCAAATCTGTCAATTCTGAAAACTTAGCAGGAAGGTAGATGCAAAAACACTTTCAAAACAGCAGATGCAAGAGCAGACTGAACTGTCTGCTCCGGTGCGACAAGCTGAAGAACTCAAGCTACAAAACTGCTGAGCATAAACGCCGAGGTGGGCTGAAGCGAGGTCTCATAAGAGGTCAGTGTAGTTGTGCTGACCTCTCATGAGTCCGACCTTTGAGAGGAGCTGTTAAAGTGAAAGTTACATGGCGAGAGAGAACGAGCGAGCAGGGGAAAGGGTTTTAATGGGGCACTAAGAGAATAGAATTGCATCTGGCTGAAGAATGGTGGGAAGGGAAGGTGAGAGGACGGAGGCACAAGTCGGCCATTGATGCGGTGTCATGTTTATGAGTCATTATAAAGGGTCAGCCCATTGGTTTCTGCCTGAGGCGAGATGGAGGAACATGCATTAACTGTACTGGAACAAACAAGAGACGGCTATAGGCAGAAGACAGTAAAAAAAGTTATAATGCATTTTATTAGTCAGTAGTTGTTTTTTATATCTCTCACAACATCCCAAAGTAAATCTAGTCTAGTGAAATCTAGTGACTGCAGAACATTAATAAGTTCAATAAGCTTACTGTCATGTCTAAGGAACAAGTTTGAAAGTCCATTCATGTTGTTGAACCAAACAACAATGTTGCCTTAGTCTTTTTGAGCATACTTTTATCTTGTTTGTACTAGGCTTTAAACCCATCATCACGACCTATCAGAGTAGGCCAGAGGTTTCTATTCTGATATGATCTGTTTTCAACCTATGTGAATTACAGCTTCAGTTCCCTGGTTTTAGCAGACAGGTGTGGCACCTGTCAGTGTCGTCTGCTGCTGCAGCTCTTCTGTTGGACCTTTCCTCACATGGAAATCTATAGTCTTTTTGCATTAGTAATGTGCTGCTATATGATTAGTTGATGGGGGGTCTTACTAGAAATCCAATGGCCGTGTCTGTGTGGCCAGTATCATTATTCAGACAGTAGCTCCTGTTTAATGACAAAACAACACTATAATCTACTGGTATTCATTTATCAAAAGATTTTTGTCAATTACAACTGACACATCCATCAAATTGAATATGAATAAAATCAATACTGAGTCTCAGACATGTGTCTATTGATTTTTCACACTCTGCTATTATACATACTGTCAGGTCTGATCCTACCTTTCTGCATCGACAGCAGTATTGTGAACGGGGGGAGGGGTGGAGGGGGCAGGATTTGGCAGATAGAGGGAGCCACACAGAGGATGGTCTTTTGGGTTGTAGGTGGGTGGAATTAGTCACAGCACTTAAATGACCAGTGATTGAGTATTAATGAATAAAATGGTGGACTTGGAAAAGAAAAAGAGTGTCAGGCCGACTTTGTCAGCAGAATACAGAGTCCAGAGTCCATCACTGACTGTGACTTTGAGTTACGGGAGGCTGCTTCTCTAATTAAACACTCCAATCCTCCAGTTTGTCTCAGGACTCGGGCTAATCGACAACTGCAGTGCACTGTGTGAAACCTCAACACTTTCCCTGAGGTTTTTATTGCCCATCACTTGAGTTGTCCACCTGGTATTTAAATTGTTAAAAATGTGTGGCAAGTACTGTAGTTACAGGAAGACACCAAGAAAAATTTAGGCAAGAACTTTCCCTGAAGCTCTGGCCCACAGCAGAAACAGTTTACCTCCTCCAGGAAGTAAGAAGAGTCACAAGTGAACCGCCTACAGACCCTGTTATAACACAGTGTAAAAACCCATCTCCAGTGACCACTAGTGATTACCCACCGTGTACAAATAAACGCCTACATGACTTCTGTGATGTTTATGCAGTGCCAGCACATTTTCTTTTGCCCTACAACAGCGCTGGGCACGTTGCATATTTATGCCCCACAAGGTGCATCACTTTTCTTCCCTGCTGCGACACTAATCAGTGTCCCCTGATGTTAGAGTAACAGAGCTGCCAGGAGGGCTTCTGAAACAGTAGAAAAAGAATGTTTATCTATGTGCATAGTTTTTTTGTAAGGGAAGGGAATTTACTCATAAAAAAAAGAGAGGGAAATCTGGGAGGTGGATGTTTAAGCATGAGGCGTGTCCTCTTGAAATCCTATTGGACCGCAGGGCAATTCCAGAATGTCAGTAATTTTAACAGCAACCAAAACTCAGACGTTATCATTATATTCATGCATATTTGACATGTGACCAATATGCAACAAGTCCAAAATACAATTTGACAGGGATTCAATAATTTGATTCTACTGTTTCAGAAAATAAAAATTACATTATGAAAAATAACATTATAGAGTGGAATATGAGAAGCACACAATATTAAATGACACCATTGCAAAGAAGCATCTTCACATTATTACTATTAAATAGGAAAGACAAAAGTTTGAACGTAGGGAAAAAATACACTTTCTGTGTGAATCTCCAGTTATGGCTAAAGGTCAACCAGAAAGTCAGACATCAACCATTAGAGAATTTCACCCATTCGGAATTTCTTGCCACATTTCCATAACACCAGTGGGCAGGTGCAGTGTAACTAGGATCAGGAGGAAGGTGGGAATTGAAACTTTTTTCACTGGACAGACATTCTTTGCATAAGGCCATAATTTGTGTGTGACCATCATAAAAATTCAGGAGAGTGTCATCTATCCAACAGTCCAGATAACGAGACGACAATGGGATACGACAGGGAGCCGCTGAAAATATGTGGCCATTGGAATAAGGGGAAAAAAAGTGTGAAGCAAATTAAAAAAAAAAATCTCTTCTACTGCCCCATCCATTCTGGGGGCTTTCACCGCCATCTGTGTTGGAGTCATGGAGGAATGTCAATGTATATTTGGTTATTCTTATAGGTACTTCTATTGGTAGGATCACTTTAGTCTTGTCAGTTTGACAGGGGTTGCCACAGCAGTATGCTGCAGAGCTAAAGATTTGGCAACCTAACCTGGGATTAAGGGATTTCCTGTTTCCTGGATATAAAGTATGAGCGAAAACAGTCTTTGTTTGGTCCAATGTCAGGTAATAAAATAACTAAATAAATAAATAGCAGATAAATAGTTATACATTTGTGGTAACCATTCAGCCCATTCAGCAGTACAGCAAAGGAGCAAGTCAAGCCATCAGAAGTTTCACACACAGACAGTTTTGATCGAAACTATTGAAGTTCCCAGAATCCAGCAGCTGCAGACTGCAACGATAAAAACGCCCTTGACCAGATATTTCCACTTAAAATCATGTCTCAGCAGGGCACACAACATTTCAAGGTTTTTGGCCGGATGAATAGCTGTGAGTTTGACGGCTTACTTCAAAGGTCGTTTTAACACAATGCCTGAGGTCGTAAGCTAAAATGCATTCCACTTCCTCTGGTTTCACCTGGAATTCCACTTGGCGTGTGCATCCTTTTGCCCCCTGATGGATTTTTCCAATCCATGACCATATGTTTCCTTTTTAGGTTGGGTAAAGACTTTTTTTAGGCTGTTATTCCAATTGAATTTTTATTTACACCCTTCAGAGATGCCTCCACAATCTGAGCATTAACTGATGAGCTGTACTGAACTGAAAAACAAGCCTGTTTCAATTTAGTTGACAGTCAAAATGTCTTTCATGCTGGTACAAAAGCAAAGACATAAATTCATAAGATATTAATATGCTGAAAACCGCAGAAACGAAGGAACCTTCCAGACTATGATCAAATAACAGTGACATTATCTTAGGTATTTGTAGACAGGGATGTTTTAAAAAGCAGGAGTAAAAACAACTTTTACTTTACAGCTTGAACCATTTCTTCAATAAACCATTAAAACCAATAACCCACACAGAATAATTAGTGCCACTGGTTCCCAAAGCCAGGCACGGGGCCTCACAGAGGATTGTAGAGATATTGCAGCAGGGATAAACAGTAGCTCAAATTACTTCTAAATTGAATAAATCCTTATTAGTGCCACAGTAGGAACATAGCACTGATGTGTAATAGTTTTCACTACATCCAGTGACAGTGTTTGAAACAAAGATCAGTGGAGTTTTTTGTTTCCATAGCTGTGGATGTGTTGACATGAGGTGACAATATATATTATCTAAAATAGTAGAGCGCTGCGGAAAAAAATTTGTAGCCACGGCTATAGTGTAAGCAAATAGCTAGGGAGTGAAAGTAAATATTAAACTGCTCCGCATAAAGAATGAACAACACAGTGTCCATTATGCACAATTACTTCGCATGACTTTTATTGCACATGTAAATAACACAGTCAAAAATATTTCCTGACCTGATAATGGGTGTTGTGTTTTTGAATCATGAGAATCATTACTTGTCACCACATCCACTGCTGCATTTTAATCTGCTCTGCTCAGCTGAATGACTCATTATAGAGGATTTGCTCATTTGGAGCACGAGTGGTACGGCTGTTGATTGGGCTCTGGTAATGAGTCACAGCCATGTAGAGGAATTAGGAACATTAACGGCGATTGTTGTCAAAGTGAGAGAATAAAGGGTTACATACTGTATGGTACGCATTCATATTGGACCTCCAGGTATTTGTAGGTTCCGGGACAAGGGTCAGGAAAAACATCTGGTCCAGCCACGACAGCACACTGTGTTCGGTTATTACATCTGAAAACAAACAAAATCATCCAATTACTGAAAAGCACAGCACCAATCACAATCATTTATTTTGCCGCAAATTACGTAGCTGTCAATAGTGCCTTTCACCTAAATCAGAGGCAGAACAGACACAGAGGTTCACAGAGGAGAGAGTCGTCTGTTCTAGCAAAGCAGCTTTAGATGAACAGAGACTATGATCCCATGGGAATCACATGACCAGATGCTGCCCAAGACACAAAGACAATGTGCTGCACAGCGCAACTTCTGTCCTGTTTGACACCAAATACAAGTATGTATGTTTGGTACATTAATCAAAATGTCCGTGACGGTAATAACACATTTTCGATAACGAATTGATAATAAAACATAGAGTAGCTTAATCAGAGATAATTGTAAATGATTACAAATAATCATGATTAATCGAGAAAAAAACTACAATCCTAAATATGACTAATGACTAATGACTCGAAGTTAAAGACTCCACAAATACATTGGGTTGCAACAGTATATTCACACACACACACACACACACGCACACACACGCACATACAATAATATTTGCGGAATGCTACGTGTGGGCTGAGGGCTTATAGTCGTACACAGACAGGTATGGGCTGCAGATCCATGTGCCAGGGTTTTTGCTGCAGGGTGGCGATGTGTTTGTGGTGATGGTGGATGTGATGTTCTGCTCAATAAACTTTGTGTAAAATCAGCTCTAACATATAATGTAGGTCTTCATTAAGAAACACAATTACACCGCGGCTGGTGTTCTCATGTGTCATTTTGTTTTCGGCAGTCATCAATCTCAGGACTATTTCATATGCATAGAGCCTCTTGCCACACGTAATAGCAACACTTATCTCACAACATTAACTCTTAAACGTTTTGTCAAGTATTGATTCGTCTGCGCTCTGCATCTGTTAGCAAAATTGAAAAAGCAGGGTGAAGGTTGTTCCAGTTTCTGAGTGTGGTCTCACTGCTGCGGGCTACTGTACACCCTGAAATAAATGTCCGTCAAACCTCTTCTCATTTACACACTGCCATTATCTCGCAATACATAAAGGTATTTATTCCCAGCAAGGCTGTTCACAGCGCAGGTCTTGTGAAGGTCAAGGCGGGGTCCGACACAATGATTCATACACCACAATTAAAGGATTCTCTAGGCCTTAATTAACATTGATTGGCTGCCGACCAATCAATGGTATCATTGAGGGACATGCAAAAAAAGGAGCCCATCTCATTCCAAGCCAACCTCGTAATGAGATATGGTCTGCCGATTCTCTCCTGTGCTGGCTTTATGGGTTCATGAACCCGGGCCTGCTCACGCTGACCCCCGGCACCATAGTGTCATTCACTCACTCACTCTCTCCAATCACTTGTCTCTGGCTGCTCGCTGCCTACGAAGAGTTAATTCGTTGGCAGTAAACGCCAGTCAAATAAATAAGGAAGGTCAAGCTCGTGAAAGTGAGAAACAATTATGGAGGCAGTGGAAGCAGCGGCAGCAGCAGCATCTCATCTCCACACCTCCTCTCCATCTCACCGGGGCTCTCTGCTTTATTCAGTTTACAGCTGGAGGGTTGTAATCAGCAGGTGAGAACACACGTTAAGATTAAGTGCCACAAAGAATTAGAAGTGAGATGAATGGAAGAGGTGCAACTATCAAGGGGTTAGAGCAGAGCTACAAACACTTTGCATGAACGAACACGGACACACATGAAGCTAGGTCTGAGTAAAATGGTTATTTTCTTTCTGGTTTCTGCCTACAAATCTACAAAAAGAAAAAAAGGTCTGAGTAAAATGGTTATTTTCTTTCTACAAATCTACAAAAAGAAAAAAAGTCCAAATCTGATAACATGGCCATGCAGTGGTCTACAGGGTTTATGTATTGTGATGAGGATTGCGAATTTAATCCCGGCCTTTACATCAATCATAAAACAGTGTTCAAATTCTGTCTGCCAAAAATACCTGGCCATAATTTTTCAGTGAACAGCCTACGACCCAAGGTGGGGAAATAATAATTACAATTAAATGCATTAAGAACAAATCAATGGTAGAGTAGGTGGTGGGATCGATGGTGGGAGAAGCTGCCCACATCACGTGCCACAACGACTTCACAATTACCAATTACGGGGGTAATCAGGATTTCATCAGACACTTGGCTCTGATGGAGGCCTTTGAACCAGCAGGGGGAGCGGGAAATGGATTCACTTTGACTGATGAATCAAGATACGTGTGTGTGCGTGTGTGTGTGTGTTTGAGATTTACATATGCAGAAAGAGAGAAGGCAGCAGGTGGTAAAGTAAAACGGCAGGCCTGCTCTAAGGCAGGGAGCCAGTGATAAACAAAGCAGTACATATGAGCCTGTCATTTATCAATTTCCAGCATCTCCTCTAAATTGAACGCACTGACAGATCACGGAAACAGTTTATATTAAAAGGAGAGAAGGAGCGGAAAACACTTGATTTTTGACATTTCATCCCATTGTTATCCCCATTCCCACTCCTCGTCCCTTATAGCTCTTCCTCCCTTCTGTTCCCTCGTCTGCTGTTTGTTATAACTGGCAGATTAGAGCTCAGACTGCCAGCTGACAAGGGGAGATGTGGCACAAAGCAGCAGAGCCCTATGTAAGCACAAAGTGTAATCACTATAATCACTGACTGAGCCAGCTGCTGCTTCTGATGACAGTGAGTGGGATGAGTGGCTGTGCGGACCCCTCCCCAAAAAAAAAACCAAAAAAAAAAATCAAAGGTCTAATGAACATTGGCACAGGACAAAAATAAGTGAATGAGTAAATATTTGAATGGTTGAATACATGGCCAGATGAATGGCATACTAGAAGAAGACTGATGATGCAGTAAAACACAGTTACTATAGATACAGCAGTATTCCACAGTACATTATCAAGAATATCCAGAATACATAAATATCCAAATCATTCATATGCAGTTATGTCTTAGAAACCTGGGAATGTGTCATACTAGGGTAGGGCAGTGGTTGCTTAGTGGTTTCAGGTTCGAGTCCACCAGCTGCTTACCACTGAGGTGCTCTGAGCAAGGCACCCTCCCACACACTGCTCCCTAATGCTTAAGGCTGCCCACTGTTCACTTTGGTGATGGGTTAAAAAGGCCCTGTGTAAGTATTTTCTTTTTTTGTTTGTTTATGTTTAGTAGACATGACAGTTCTATTTGGTAATACTTATTAAAAAGTCAAAGAGAGCCATTAAGTGGCAGTTAAGAAAAAGAGAATGTTATTCCATTATGTTGCAAAGCAAACAGTTTGACAAGTAAAAGAAAAACACAGGGAGCAGGACAGAACACTTTACTCTCTCTGTTACCCTTGTACTGAACATACATGTCAGTGTTTTTGCTGTAAAATGACAAAACCATCAGTTTTGCCATGAATGTTATGAATAAGAATAAACAGTTTTGTTCCGAGTTTGTTCAGTGGGGTACGTTAAAAGACAGCAACACGCTGCATATCTCACTGTACGAGGAGCTTAAAGCCACTGTAGCTGCCATAAAGATAACGCACACCAAATCCTGACTGAACTTTAAGTTGATGCAGTTGCATTGTGGGTAATGTGGGTGCAAGTTCTGATAAGGAAGTATAAGCCATGGAATAGGAAAAAAATATATCTGTCATTTTTTTCTTTATCAAAGAATGTTATTCTCCTGCAACAATATTAATATTCATAATAAATGGTCTTTGAAAAGACCACACAATAAATCCTCCACATGGGTGCATTTGTAAAAATGTTTTTACATGATGACATAAAATAAATTCTGTGACAAAAGTTGCAATTATGTAACTATTGAAATAAATCACATTTTTCTTCAGCTACTAAGTGCATTTTGTTTTTGAAATAAAAACATCTGTTGCGTCTCTTAATTTCCCATTATTTATAAAGCAGTTGGAAAAACCTGTTTAATATGTCACCTTGAAAATTTCTCTGTTGCAAAAGTTTGGTATTAAGTTATTATAATAAACAGAATAAAAATAACTAATAATAATATAACTATAATAATAACTAAAAGCAGAACAACATCTGCTCAATGAACAGTGTACCAATGTCAGCTAAGACTGAAGGGTTCCATTTAAATTAAAAACACTAGAATGGATTTTTCTACATTTTAGGATTTATTTTACAATGACCAATGATTGTATTGTATAACTGTTTTATGTTCAATAATTGCATTACTCTGTCTGAGTAAATAACATAGAATTAACCCACCAAAAACAAACATTTTATCAATTACCTAAATTAAATCACATTGAATAAAATTTTTGCCACTGTGTGCAACAACAACGTCAGATTTGTTTCTTTGGATTAGTTTATTTTCAAAGCAAAAAATAAATAAATTAGATAAATAGGGAGACTGTCTCCCTGCTCAAAGTAATATTTGCATTAATTGAATTCCTATGCTGATTCACTGTTCGATCTAAAAGTCTGTAACAGATGTAAAATCCATGTATGAGAACAGATTTAAGCCACACCCACTTGAAGATTTCCTTTAAAAAAAAAAAATCGACAAACTAACAAGGATGAGTATATACACAAATCCGCATATGACCGAAAACTGCAGCACAAACTCTGTCCAAATAGATACATGGTTGTACTTTATTGACTGGGAAATTACAGTCGGAGCGAACAAAACCCGGGACATTCCATTTTTTAAGGCAGCACTGTAAAATTCCAGTGGGAAAACTGCACAGCATTTACTGTATAAAAATACATATAAATATATATAAATATAAATGTGTGCCTGACCTTTAATAAACTACGTGAAGTACAGAATAAAAGTTTTATTATTTGTGGTTAAGCAAAGGTCAGAACTGACCGTCCGTCACCACATGGACTGCTTATAATAATTTCATTCTGTTTCCCAAGAAGAACGTCTTCTCCCTGCTGCTGTCCTCCTGACAGCTCTAAATCCTTCTCCGTCATTGACACAGATTAGCTTTTTTTTCAGAATTTTCACAGCGCACGGGTTTCCTTCTCTTTAACGGTG